TGTTGTGTTCCGCTTTGCGCTGATGACTCTAGAAAAGGCGTGAATGCATCTCTTCTTCTCCCCACACTCGTCTATGTATTAAATCCTGGTGGGGTGTGGTGGGGGGGTTCAGACTCAGCTTTCTTTACTCAAGATGAATGAAAACTCTGAATTCAAAACCGTAGAGAATATAATAGAAAAAAAACCCAAAAACTCCACGATCTTTCTCAAGAATGCATGTTTATTCAAAGATAATAAAAACGGATATGTGGAGAGCCATGATCGGCTATATCCTGAGAGAAAAAGGCATTAAAAAAACTCGATTACGCGATGCTACGTAATGGCTGTTATCAAGAAAAAAATCAGGAAAACAAGATAGAATTTTAACTGAGGCGGTAATGTTAAAGGCATGAATTCACTTTTCCTCGCGCATTCTTTCATATGGATAGAAAATGCATAATCGCTGGCATGCAACTTTAGTTGACAGGGAAGAAAGTGGAAAAGTCAATTTGACTAATAACTGTAGAACATCAGAAATAATTGAAAAAAATTGCTTCGCATATTGAGTTAAACACGTTGCAATTTCGTCCATTTATTAATTTACCGTTTTTGATGGCATATAACAACGCCATTTTTTTTCCTATTTATCTTTTAACCAAAAAAGTTTTAAAATATCTTCTGGATATTATACGCGAAGTTGAAGCACTTAATAGACTTATAGTCACCCATGCGCCGTAGACTTTCACTACTTGTGCTTAACTTGAGAATACTGTAATATTAGATTAAAATAAAAGTATCTGATATGCCGTTTCGGCACTTCGACGTGGTGTAATGGTTAAAAAGCTTGTTACGACTGAGTAGTGTTTTCGATCTATAGTGGGTGCTCCACACTTTCGGCCTAGTGCCACATCTAAGCTACGCTTAGTAAATCACTATCAGATATGTCAATGCATATAATAATTTAAAATGAATAAAGTGAATATGTTAATTTTGATGATCACAAAATATTTTATATGATTATCTGTGCGTATTTTATAGGTACCTACATCACCACACTCTTATGTTAAACACATCCATTTCATCCATTTTCCTTTTTAATCTTTAACGACCAATCGTATATAAGTTAACATCGTTCAGAATTTCTTCCCAGCTGGCAGAAACTATTTAACCTTCACACATTGCTGTGCCAAAAGAGGTAAGAGATAAGTGAACCAATTTTTGCAAAGCATCATGATAATGTCTGTTTATCTGCTCAGCTATCGTCTTTGATAGTTTTTCCTTTTTTGTATCCACGTTCAACAGATGCCTGACCAGCCTCAGTTTACACGACTACTGCGTTTCCATGGCCGTCTGCATGTCTAATTTATTGAATCAATACAGTATTGACTTTGGTCATTATAAAGATGTATTCCTGTTTTATGCAACGAACTGTGTGTAATTTCTCCTTGGCTTTCTTAGTCGACCCTTCTATGTGTACTGCTTGTCTCTGTAGTGTTCCTGTTTTTCTTAAGCACTCAGTTTCACAGTTTATATCCCTTTCTATCAGTCCATATATTGGCGTAGTCGCATTATCGATAACTTTTTAATCACTCAATAAAATATCCATTTCAGAGGTGGGTATTGTTATAGATCTGGTAAAGGCATAAGTTCTTTATCCACTTGACTGAATTCCGAGCAGAGAAGCAAGAATTAATTTCATTTCTAGCATTTGTTTACTGTTGTTAACAAAGATATTATAAAATTCGCCATAATCTATTTCATGCTCTGAGCTATTCTAGATATTACGGATTGTAAGCAAGAAAATTAATTTAATCTGTTTTGAAATAACCGATACTTAATTTGTAAGATCATTCAGTTCAGCATTTAAGGTAGATAAACAAATTAGTCAACAGACGACACTACGATATGCTACACTAAGATTTTTAAGATGCTAAGATAAAGAAATAAGCAGGTGTCGTAAATGCAAAGTAAGTATCACATTGGATGAAGACTATTGAAATGAAAGTGATAGATTTTAATTGATTGATTTCTTTTTTATGGCTTATTAGACTTTTGCAGCTTATTTAAAGTCAGATTGTAAGAATGTTTTGGAGATAATAATGATTTACTGATACAAGTACTACTAATTAACCCATAGATGAGGGAGAAGAGTTGAATTCATATCTTTTCCAGGTGTTTTTGCACATAAGTGGATATAACGAACACGGTGGAATTGGGATTAATGACAAGCAAAAGTTGTGAGAAGGTCTATTATCAATTTTGATATTCTTAACGTGAAAAAGTGCATGAAAGATTTCATGACTTTTTTGTCAGTCATTATTTAAAATCACACTTTTTGTCAGTCATTATATGAAAGCACACTTTTTGTCAGTCATTATATGAAAGCACACTTTTTGTCAGTCATTATATGAAAGCACACTTTTTGTCAGTCATATGAAAGCACACTTTTTGTCAGTCATTATATAAAAGGACACTTTTTGTCAGTCATTATATAAAAGCACACTTTTTGTCAGTCATTATATAAAAGCACACTTTTTGTCAGTCATTATATGAAAGCACACTTTTTGTCAGTCATTATATAAAAGCACATTTATTCCAGACACGCTGTTTTGAATTTGTCATGTACATCTTCTTGTCTGTATTTACTGATTAATTGTGAACTTGATTTCTCTAATCAACAAGTTCAAAACCCTAACTCAACTTAAATATTTGATATACTCAACTTGATATACTGCATCTATGAAAAACTTACAAGTAAATGAATTTTGATTTTCTAACACACTGGTGGCATACCATTTATTATGTCAGCCTACCATCTGAAAATGATAATTCTTGTTAAATTTCCACTGCTTTTGATTTTAAGCACTATTACAAGCACATTACAATTGGGATTATGAACAAACACCAACGATACTTCATTGTCTGTTACCGCAACACTTATCTCAAAAGTCTTGTATGAATTCTTTCTTAAAACAAGGATCAGTGATTTAAATAACTAAACTTTTGAGTTTTTATTCTGTAAATCTGGAATCTGTAAGATGTGTTAGCGAAGACAGACAATTTAGTTTTGAAAGTTGTTTTTTTTCTTCGACGAATTTATTTTTAATGTTAATTCGTCATACGTAATTTCAGATTTATTGTTTGTTAATAAGCGAGACTATTGTATGAGTATATTTATATTGTGTAGATTTTATAAGTGCATAACTATTCGGACTACAGAACATATAAGACTTGCATAATATAATTAGAGTTTCAAACAAACCAATGGTAAGCGCACTAATTAATGTCTTTAGCTTTGAACATATTTTCAAAGCTAAAAATGTGTTCAAAGCTGAAAGACATTAATTAACGTTTTCGTTAAGTGGCACATTAATAACGTAACGTCTCTGCATTTGAAATTCACAACTTTTGTTTTTCATTTGACATCTGCACTGCTGTGGCTAATATACTTACCTTTCCAGCGATGCTATTTAATCTCTGGGGAATCCCTAGTGTTCTATTCTTGGCCTACATGCATCAGCGAAAAAATGTTGGTGTTAAGAAAAATTTCTTAATAACTGGCATGGAAATTGATTCTGAAAGTTTGCATGAAAGGAGTCCAAAATAACAGTTGTCAAGTAACAGGAAAACTGATAAATGTTGCTTAAAGTTTAGATGTACAGACGTTAGCAAAGCCTAGCAAATATTTTGTAGAAATTTTATATTTTTTTGTTGCTATTTGTTGGGTAAAAAAGGGTGTATCTAATGCGAACACTTATGTAGGTCACAGATAAGCACTAATTGTAAAGAAAGACTCACAATGATCGAAACTGTCATTAGACAAAACTAATATAAAAACGACACATGGAGAAACTAAAAACATTAAACGCAATATCTTTCGAGGCGCTGTCAAATTTTGTCACCCATGACGGACTAATAAAAAATATCCTAAACATGTCGTCATTTGTGTATAGTATACGTATATTTGAATTAGAAATGTAGTGTTATGGTGACACTAATAAAAACATTTTTTGAATGGCACTGATAACATTGACAGTCTTGATAATTACTAGTGATGCACAAAAGTCTCGAAGAAACACTTTATTAAATTTGAACAGTTTCATCACAAATGATCTTAATGGGATGCACCTTTATGTGCAAAAATGTAATAAAAAATGAAGCAGTAATAATCGGTCAATTTTAATAAAACCTGTTTGAACACACACACACACACACACACACACACACACACACACACACACACACACACACACACACACACGTGTGTGTGTGTGTGTAATATCTGTAAGTAGCCGAACAACACCCACACAGATATAGATTAGGGAGTGGTGTAAAGTTCTTGGCCCGACCAAGAAGGGATTCAAAAACAAATTCTGATGCTTAATTATTTGGTAAAAGTTTATTAAGTGGACCAGGCTGAGAACCTTTCAGTATCCTCTCTCTCTCTCTCTCCGTAAGTATATCATTGTTAGTAACCTATATATATATATATATATATATATATATATATATATATATAGATAGATAGATAGATAGATGTATGTATGTATATATATATTTGTGTGTGTGTGTGTGTGCGCGCGCGAGCGAGCGAAAGCCTTTGGGATCCGTAAGATCTATAGGTATATTAAGTTTTATTCAGTTATTAGGGGTCATTGATTATAGTATTGAGAGAAACTATACTCCGAAGTCGTTAGTTAAATAAAATAAAGTTACATTAATAAGCTGGATAGAGAATAGAGATGCAGCCGATCAATATTTCTATTTTTTGTCTTTTTCAAGGCTTTGTTCACTTGGGGACAGCTAAGAAGATGCCGAAATATGTCGAAAATTAATTACACGAGATATTAGGAAGGAGGGGGAGGAGGAGAAATTATGCTGCATGCTAGTTTAGAATTCTCCAGCCTCTTGTGTTTCATGTTTCTAACTGAAGCCGCTTGGTTCGCCAGTCTCTTTCACTCTCTCTGCTTGTACGAGGCAAATACAAACATGCTTATCAGGTCTCTATAGCAACCAACTCAATGAATCCAGCTTCCACTTATCTCCATAGCAACAATTCCCCATCCATTTATTCTATCTTTATCTTTCTTGCTATCCTATTCAAATATATGTCCACACGTTCGTTCGTTCGTTCTTTCTTTCTTTCTTTCTTTCTTTCTTTCTTTCTTTCTTTCTTTCTTATGAATATTTTAATATTTTCCTTTACTGTCTTTCTAACTTTTCATTCTTTGACCTTTTTTAAATTTCTATTTTCTGGATTTTTCTTTCTTTATTTCATGCTGCTATGTTAATATTTTACTCACCCCCCCTCTCTCTCTCTCTATTTTTTCTTTCTCTCTTTTTTATTTGCTTCTTTCTTTTTTTCTGTTTTCTCCCTTTTCATCACAATCATCACCATTGTTCTATTGGTAGGCTATGCACGGCCATTATCAGTCTCCCAACTCTCACTGTCATGATGAGCCATCATCATCCTCATCTTCACATTTCTTGCTATCTTCATCATCATCATCATTTCATTTGTCCTTTCATTGTCATCTTTGTCATCTTCTTTATTCGTGTTCCCAGCTTCAATGTTCTTATTACTTTGTCAGTTCTTGTTTGCCCGGCGTTTTACCAGCCGGCACGTGCTGGGTGCCCCACCTTCATCTGATCTACCCCGAGGTCATCTCACCCCATTGCTAATTTACAGGTCTGTCGCTTACCACCCCAGCTACTTTCAATTCATTTCTGCTCATCGTTATTCCCTCTGAGCCCTGATGCGGTCTGTGCTTGATTGACGTCGGGGTAGGGGTAGCATTTTTTTTTTTTTGAATCTTTGTGTTCTCATATCTTTCAATCTATGTCTGCTGTTTGTTTGTTCTTTCTTTCTTTCTTTCTTTCTTTCTTTCTTTTTTTCTTTCTTTCTTTTTTCCTTTTTTCCATCCAGTAACCCCTTTTATCTCTCTTTCACTTTCTTTCTTTCTTTCTTTCTTTCTTTCTTTCTTTCTTTCTTTCTTTCACGTTTCCTTTTTTCATCCAGTAACCCCTTTTATCTGTCTTTCTCTTTCACTTTCTTTCTTTCTTTCTTTCTTTCTTTCTTTCTTTCTTTCTTTCTTTCTTTCTTTTCTTTCTTTCTTTCTTTCTTTTTCTTTTTTCCTTTTCCAGTAACCCCTTTTATCTCTCTTTAACTTTCTTTCTTTCTTTCTTTCTTTCTTTCTTTCTTTCTTTCTTTCGTTTCTTTTTTCATCCAGTAACCCCTTTTTTCTTTCTTTCTTTCACGTTTCCTTTTTTCATCCAGTAACCCCGTTTTTTTTTCTGTCTTTTATCTTTCTTTCACTTTCTTTCTTTTCTTTCTTTCTTTTCTTTCTTTCTTTTTCTTTCTTTCACGTTTCCTTTTTTCATCCAGTAACCCCTTTTATCTGTCTTTCTCTTTCTTTCTTTCTTTCTTTCTTTCTTTCTTTCTTTCTTTCTTTCTTTCTTTCTTTTTCCATCCAGTAACCCCTTTTATCTGTCTTTCTCTTTCACTTTCTTTCTTTCTTTCTTTCTTTCTTTCTTTCTTTCTTTTTTATATAATCTTTTATCTGAAATAATGCTTTTTTTTTCTTTCTCTTTTATCATAAGATTTTGTCTTTCCATTCATGATCACTTTCTCAACCTTTTCTTTCTTCTAGTTTCCCTCTTTATCCTCTTCGCTTTTTAATCTTCTCTCCCCCACACTGTCGCTTCTCTTCATTTACTTCAACACTCGCTGTACGAGGGGGTACTGAAAAGTTATTTGCACGACCAATGAGCCACCCAAACATAAATCCTGATGTTTGATCATTTTTTTTTTCAGATTTTCGTAACTCTATCTCGTCAAGAACTTTTCAGCGCCCCTCGAAGGTTCTCATCTTTATTCTTTTTTTTTTATCTTATTTTATCAATGCCTTCCTTTTCCCTTCACTAGAACCTCTGCTAATATTAACCTTAAATCTTTATTTTAGCACGATTTTCTCTCCAAATGCATCAGGTTGTATCTGTCGTTTTCTTATCATTTTCTTATCATTCATATGACCTTTTCTTTTCACCCTAGCCCTGTTTTCGTTTTTATTTGTTTCCCAAATAGAGATAGATTTATTTTAATGATCACTCGTTCGCTTATCTCTATTTACTAAGTTTTGCTTATTTTGAAACAAACCACAAATACAGGGCACCCAGTGAGGGACAAATTCACTACAGTAGTAAATGGTTTTCGAAAATACCTTGAAGAATTGTTCCATATGATGACGCCCCCAAAATTGATTTACTAAATTTAGTTTGGAAAAAGGTGATGAATATTAGGTTCTTTTTGAGGATTGAACTCGCTAGCCTAACATCTACCTCTCTCTTACACTCACTCACTCACTCACTCACTCACTCACTCACTCACTCACTCACTCACTCACTTTTTCTAATTCGCATTTAGTTTTGTCTTCTTTTCTCTAAATTGGTTTTCAGTTCCCTTGACGCACCTTTTATTGTTTTCATAGCTTTACTTTTGTACGGATTGCCTTAACCTATATA